AAAGGGAGTTATGGGAGTATGACATTCTAACACACAGAGGAGCGTGCTTGACAATCACATGATCAACTCCATCTGCCGTAAACTACGATGAATGTCCGTATGCATAAAATTGGTCTATAGTTCGAATCACTACACTAAATAATGTGAAATCATTTTTTTCAGATTCATTCGAATTTCACATCAAGTACCAAACATGCAACAGTAAATTGAAACTCAAATTGAATTCATTCCATTAATTGATTATGTGCACAATATTCCAGGTTGCTTTTTCATTTGAATTTTGATGTTTGATTTATAACCACTACTGAAAGTAATCACTAGACCAGAAGGGAAAGTCTTTATACCATGTTGTACTACAGAACATATACTTCAGTGATGCAAATGTCGTGGAATATCAGGTACACTAACAACTTCCTACTCTTTGAAACCTTTGTTTAAATGATGCCTACACAACACAGATCAGAATCACTCCGCTTGCCCCAAATCTACCTTTTCTTAACCGGCTTCTATAAGTTCATTAAAATTTGTTTTCACATCAAATGAAAAGAATTAACTAATATTATTGAATATAATACGAATCGCTTCATGTGGAACAGTTTGACGAATTCGGTTAATTTTGACAGAGTAATCCATCGGCCGCTTTCATGTGTCATTCAGAAGTGCGAAGGTTTGGAAGCATCNCTGTATCACGGTTTTGTATGTGCTGGAAAATGTCTGTGGTGAGCATCATCCCGATTCAGTGGAATCCCGAGCCCCGGCGAACAGAATGAAATCCATGGCTTTTGAATGGTGAGAGACACGTTAACTCTGCTTGTCTAGTACACTTTCTTAAATGAAGTGCACCTATTCAGAGATCGTTGCTATTTATGAGTGTTTCAATCCTGAAATAGTAACGACTAATCACCTGAGGCAGGACACTGTTCGGTGGATGGGAACTTTTTCCGATGGTGATCAAATATTGAACTGATAGATGGATGAAGGTCGGTTGGTCGCGGGTTTGAAATCAAATTGGTATATACATTGTTTCGACGAGCGCTTGAAACGGTTCTGCTTCAAACCTCCAGTTCTCTCGGATTTGAAGAGGTTCGTGCTATCCGAATCGAGTAATTTAGGCACAATGTACGAAGGTTTAATTGATGGTCATTTACCCTTTCTCGAAACATGTTTCACGATAAAATCTAAAATGAATACATTGCAGCATAGAAGATGATCGAAGTTCAGAGATATCTGGACGGGATGTATATCACTGACTGGATTGTAGGACACAAGCCGCTGATACCAGTGAAATTCAATTAACACGCGATTGCCAAAAACAATTCCACAGGACATTGACGAGCAAACAAGCACATTTCGGAACGAGCGAAGTTGCTCAATTCCAAATGGATGTTTGATTAGGAGTTGTCGGGAGGAATTGCAACGAACTTATTGTTTGAGTATTCCATAGGAATTTGTCAACACAAAGCGTCCAGTTCCGTACACATTCCACTGATTGGCACGGGATTATTGTGGTGCCTTCGTGGTGTTGACAGATAATCTGCTTCCGCGGTGGGTCATCACAGACGAGCAGTGATTACCTAACCTGTCGGGATTCAATTGAATTCCTAAAACTAGAGATGTGTGATCCATTCGAGAATGCCTCCAAACTCGAAGTCGGCAACAAATTCATAGATCCGCTATTCGATTCGATGTATAGATGTCGAATTTTCGATTAAACACCTTTCTGCCTTACCTTATGTTAGTTACTGAAACAGGAATTCAAAATTCAAGACTGTTTGTCAAATTAGGATGCTTACTTATGCATTTTAAAGATCATTTCTCACGTTTTTGTCTTCCGACTAGAAATAATACAGATGAATTATTTTTTATATCACTCGGTAAAACCTTTTTCCAGATGTGTCATTTATAACCTGAGCGGTAATTGAGTACTAAATAAATAAAAAATGTTATTAGCTTGTTCATAAAATACTGACAACATGTTTGGCAGAATACGGGTTGGAGAATTGACGTTTCACATGGGGACTATTTGAAGGTATCCTTCATCCTCAGATAACATCTAGTCACACGAGCGCATTCCATCATCCTGGAGCGAATCACTGATCGTTCCAATTTTTAAGAAATGATCTCGCAATGATTGCGAAAACCACCGTGGAATAAGTTTGATCCTAATCGTCACCAAGTTACTAACCTCCATTATACTTCGACGTCTGACACCGTTTATGAAGACAAATATTCGCGAACAACAAGCAGGATTTTGATCAGGTCTCGGTTGTATCGATCAAATCTTTACTCTGTGTCAAGTCCTCGAGATAGGCCATACGCATCGTCGACCAACGGTTGCCGTGTTCCTTAACCTAAAAAGAGCCTTCAACTCAGTTTATCGTGATTCTCTTATGGCTTCGCTTCTTCACAAAGGAATGCCGCAGAAGTACGTGAACATACTGAGTTCACTTTACTCAAATACCTCTGGTAACGTAAGGGTCTACGGTGAGCTGAGTAGGTCATTCGTAAAGTGTTCTTCAAGGGTGCCTTCTTTTGCCATTCTTGTTCAATTTCGTCATAGACGAAATACTGACGAAATACTAAGTGGCTTCCAACATGTAGAAATTATTTGGGCAACTGGAGGAAAGCTGTGCGATTTGGAGTACACTGACGACATTCTTCGCTTGTTCAAATGTATGGAGGATGCAAAAAGAGCACTTGACAGATTAGTAAGTTCTGTCGCTCTGTTCGGTATGTGCTTTGTGCCTTCAAAGTGCCAACTGATGCCACAAGACTGGGTGTCGCCGCTTGCTGCTCGGAAACTAGACGGTCAGGAATTAGCTGAAGTTGACTGGTTCTCGTACTTAGGTAGCTGCGTGACCGAAGACGGTAGCGTATCAAAGAGATAACCGTCCGCTCGAGTAGAGCTGCAGGACACCTGTGGCGGCGACGTGATTTGTCACTAAAGTTAAAAATTCGCGTATACTACGCCACCGTACAATCAGTTCCACTTTACGGTTGTGAGACCTTGATTTTGCTGGTAAAAGACACCCATCGTGTAGCAGTGTTCGGCGATCGATGCTTACGTAGTCTGGCCCAGGTTGGATGGAGTAAACGGGTTCGTGACTTAGAAGTAAGTCGTCCGCTGTTTGGGAATACATCAAACAAAAACTCGCTATCTCATCGAATCCAGCTCAGTAGGCTCCGTTAGTTAGAACACGTTTTGCGTATGTCCGATGGTCGCCTACCACAGCGCGCCTTGTTTGCAGTGGCTGTTTTGTGGAGGATAAAGCCAGGTGGAGGTCAGCAGATGACGTGGAGACGAGGCATGAAGAAATAAACAGACCGATTAGGTAGAGTAGGTGTCTCTTGTCTTCCGGGTTGGGGTCTAAAAGACTCCTTAACCGCATGATTGGAGACACTGAGGGTCATGGCTGCGAGCCGACAGCAATGGCAATCTCACTGCCACTTCTTATCAGACCAGAATGCTTGAAGTAGTATGTATGCACAGTTGGACTGTGTACTCTGTGTTAACAATATAAGTCTGCTTTACTTTTCCGCCCCCGAAATAGGTTCAATCTCTGTCCACCTTACACATTACCACTTACCCTGTATGCAATATGAGTTTAGCAGCGATCAGCGAAGTTCGCTTTGCTGTACTACGCTGTACATTGATGATGATTATAATGATGATGAGATGATTTATTCATGGAAGCTACAATTTGTACCTTCAATAAACCTTCTCCTTTCAGTAAGATCAGATTTGATCAACTGTGTCTCGTTTGCTCAATTTTGTATCAGCATGAAGTTCGCGTTTCCAGTCTCTGCGTACCGTCAAAGAGATATATCACGCGAAGCCATCACTCTTCTTCGTCTTCTCCTTCTTTGGGATATCAATATTTGAAAATCAAAAATCGATAGCAAAGTGGGTGTGGTAAATTCCATCTCATCCTCACTGATAGTTCACGTTGCTGAATCATTTACTTCACGAACGAGAAGGCTTGGATTAATTTTTAGCTATTTTAGTATCGTCCCGATTCCTATTTAATATGAACCTCTCTATCATTATTCATGTGAGGGTTTGTCAATTGGTTATACTGAAACATCAAAATGTTATAACGTTTCAGAAAAAGTAGGCAATTATGAAGGACATGCGAATAAAACTAAATCAATTTGCTCCGGTATGAAGAAACAGAATTTTCAAACTATCACAGTCGGTTTTATCAAAGTTGCACTTTTGAACGATATTCCACACTGCGTACTACATTACTGTAAATCAGTTGATTATCTAACCAAAATAGCCAAATAGCACGCTTTAGCTTACAGTATCACGCAAAGCATAACAGTGGGATCTTTTATCACTCCCGTACAGGTGATCCAATTTGTTACCATTATGGAATTACCTTTCGACGGGTTCAAGATCTATAATCCATCTTTAGAGATGCATTTTATCGCACTATTTGACAGACCACATCATATCCAGCCAAGTTTTCACGTGAATTTTAATTGATCCATTCAGATTCAAATCTGACCAGCTGAAGCATTCTGTTTAGTAAGCAGATTGTTTACATTCAATTTCATTTCATCAGATCACTTGTTCCACGCGACTGATTATCTCGAGATATGTGCACGCATATGTGGTACTTTGTTTTCCTTTGCTCGCATCCTAGTCAGTTGCACACAGGGATTATCTGCCCCAAGAAGTGTTCAATCTGAACCAGTGAAATGACTAACATTATTCTTTTTCTCCAGAAGCTGATCCTGATTTGTGCGGTCACACAGGGTTTGAGCATGTCTGGTAAAAATGTACTCCTCTGCTTCACGAGTAACTTCTCTGTTTACAAACAAGTAATGAAATTTAAGATATGCTACTCAAAACGCAAATCGTTTTTTATCCAAGATTTAACGTTAGTCAATCGAGGCGATGCATCTGAACGAGTGTCGGTTGTGAATAAAATACAATACAGCCGAACCGATTATCCAGGGTTTTCTAACCGCTTGGCTTCAAGAGAATGAATGATTTAGAAGCGAGCATGAGGACCAGTGCCATTGTTTGCTTCTGGACTCAGAGCGGGTGGATTTGTCGCATGCGCTGTATGCAAGAATGATTGGTAAAAGCAATATCCCACTGGGCTTATCGTCCTGTTCGACTCATTGCATCTGCAACCCTTTATGTCACTCAAAACGGAGAGAGAGAGTTACTCTTCTCTCTATCACAAGGGGTTTTTACCCCGTGAAATCAATCAAAATCACTAAATAACCTCACTGCCTCGTTATTGGAAAAGAAATAAATCATCCCCACCAGACACTTGAAGAAATTATTCTTGAAATTTCCAAACCGGCTGTTCCGGTCAAGGGACACGTGAATTCCTCCCGTTGCGCCATTCAACTTGATCATAGTATCTTGGTAGAACGCAAAGACAGATGAGTGTACAGACAGTGTTCTTAGATTGTGTGGGTTTCCGTGTTGAGGGGGGAGTTGGATTGTTCGGTGCTTGAGGAGGACCATCGACGTGTTTAGGTCAACATGAGGTCAGACAATGATGAACTCCACCTGGCGTGGGGGGTGGAGGTTGGCCGTTCCACGACAGTTGTATACGGATCCAAGAGATGGATGCTCTTATCGGTTGGCCGCGTTCACCGATTGACCGCATAAATTTATTACACGCTATTGAGCACTTAGTAAGACGAAGGTAGACCGGTCGAGAAAGTTGTGCGGAGCACCACAAACCCTCGTTCGCTTACGGATTGGTCATTGGGGCTTAGGAAACCAAAACTCCTCGTCTATCATTCACCGTTTCCTTAACAAGTTAGTATCAGATAGCCCACTCATTTTGGACCGTTCAAACATGAAAGATTGATCGTTACTCAGGGTATTAACTGACTTAATCGGATGCATAACTGCATAAGAACAACAAAGTCATTGGAAAAGTCAAAAATTTAAAACCTCTTGATCACAATGGGGTAAATGAAACTGTTTTCATTTGATCGTCATTGGGTATTGGATAGTGGCATGTGAGCATAAAGTCCAATCAGATGCGACGGAGTTTTGTTTATGCTGACCAACGTAGAGTAGTGGACAGCTGCTTGGTTGTAGTTGAAACTCATCTACAATTCGACCTATTGCTGTGTCCCTCGTCAGGCTTGAACGAAGTACTGGTGAGTAAAGAGCCACAACTCGTACAGCTGAAGGGTTTCAAAGACTCGGGCTCATTGATCATTTTCTCCATTTGGAAAAATGACAACATGAACCTCACTGCTCCTTTATTTTCTTTATTTGCAATTGAAATTTTTGATAATGCAATAACTTCCTTCCTGATTATTTGACATAGCCGTATGCTTCTTGTTGGTAAGCGTCAATCACTCTGGATTTATTGTTCAAAACAGCTGTCACACTCATTCATTATACTTTACAATCAATGGGATTCATTAAAGTCTTCATCTGGCTATGCGCTGTGGCATACTCACGAAGACTTAAGAAACTTCGGGAAAAATTACTTGAGAAAACACTGGCACATAGGTGTACATTTAGATTCATCAAATACCTTTAAAGGTGAACTTCCTTCCGTCCCCCAGCCACGGAGAGGTACTCTGGTTCGAGTATGGCAATACTGCATAACCTTGTGGATGTGCAAATATTTGAATGCATCGCATCGGCTACTCATTTGAGCCCCGTAATCGAAACGCAGTGAGCGAATCAAACCAATATGGGTGCTATTTCCCTGCTTGCGGGCGCACGTCAATTTGTGTATTTTGACTGATTGCGATGACTGCCTTGTCTTTCGACCTACTTAAGTGTAGTGGTTTAATGGATGCACGGTCATGGATGATGTGAACATAGGCACTATCTCTTTGTGACGGCATCGGGTGTTCGATGACGCGGAGAGTACGCATCCTATCCCTGTGGCAACACAGGTGGGTTTTGCTGCGGTGAACTAGCAACCACCATTTCAGCAACGGCATCCTGCTTAAAAAGAATTTTGTAATGGTGAGCGTTTTATTTTTCGTTTAGGCTATCTTTTCTGTTCGGTCCAGTTACAATCAATAACTTTTTCGGGATACTCGTGTTTCGGTAAGGTTTTCTTCAAGAGTTTCAACTCATTTTTTAAAGTATCCTCTGAATAGATGTGCTTCGTTCTCATACGGTTACATTTTTTTTATACAGTGGCACAAAGCTATAGAAACTTGTATACAGCTCACTTCTTGCTACCTTGCAGTAAATCGTTCTCTGGAGGAACAGGAACAACGAGAAAAAGTTCTCTTCTGGTTCGTTTGTGAACCTGATTATCGAATATGCCGTACTGAAGTCTCATTCAAAGTGGTCGAGTTTGATGTGTTCGTGAACCACGCGAAAGATATCGTCTGTATACTGATAGATTTGTACAAAAGAGCTAATAGATAGAGTGAACAGGATAACTGTGTCCAAATTACGCAATAAGCCATTTTCCCTGTTCATTAAAATTTTGTGATATCCCTCCTCGACGACCTTTGTCGAATTCGAGCTCCGATTCGGTCGATGCAAGTGGTTTAGTTATGACAGGAAATACATGGGCATTGAAACGTGTGCTTCGTCTGCTTGATCCGGATCATCCTACGATGAAGTGTTTTTTTCGTCAGTGTAAGATGCACCCATGTCGGTCTGTCATTTGTTTACAGGCAGAGTTTAAAATCTGCATCAGGTGATGGGAATTATTTTCCCCGGGTTGTTAACCTCGGCAACATGAGGCAGCTTGAGTTGAGATGGGCTGATGAAGCGACTGAGCGAGATTGCAACCAAAGGAGAGTAGACTTTGTATCACGTAGATCTGATGTTCTCGTCCGATCCGATATCGAGAGGAACATGTTTGTGTAAAACGAATTCATCGAGTATTGTCTAACAAAAAGAGCAACGTCTGGCTATTCCAGAGAATGTCTTTCAAATCGGCGTGAACATTATACAAACGAAGAATTAAATGATTGCAAAGACAACTGACAGTCATTTATCGACGAGGTGTGTAAACACTTAGAAAAGCCAGATGCATAAGCACGCAACAGATTTTATTCCCCTCACCGGAAGCCAAACTATCTAACCGAGTTTGAATAATGAAGATATGCAATACCAGTTACGGTTTTCTTACCAATAGTTTCATGCAAATGTAAAGATGTCATAGTCTGTGTATCACTGTGCGCGTTTTACGGTTCTCTGTCCAGGGAATTTCATTTTTGGTATTATGGTTGTCCAATAACTTGTTTTCAGCGCCGACAGAACCAATTTGCAATTGTTTTGTTCTTGTTGAAACTTACCAGTTACGCAGACTATTTCCATTCTGAGACTCAAACCATCACGGATGAGGGGAATAAATAAATACAAAACATTTGAACAAAACAAGTGATACATTTAGAGCAGAATCCATTTTGGTCATCGATTTTACGTCCTTTTCGGGGTGATGTGTTCTCCGAGTTGGAAGTGTTGTTCGCAGAATTTTCGTAGCCAGGCTAGGCAACATCATCAACATCATTTTCCAAAGTTTCATTGATGACGTTGCCTGGCCTGGCTCCGAAACGTCTGTGAAAAACCCTTCCAACTGGGAGCACACACCAGCAACAACATCCGCATCCCGAGCTGCAATTATTCGCTGTTATACCCAATTTCGCATGCTCTTTGCACATTAAATAGATTAGAATGTTATAAGAAGAATACCCCACATAGACAACTACATACAAATACTAGGCAGCTGTCTAGCACCAGTTTATCGGCCCTCATATAGATTATCCGACAACCGGATAATACAATCCGACTTTGCAGTTAAATACATACAAAATAGAGTCTCATTTAATTTAACCTTTCCCATTGCAGTGCTCATGTCATTCCATCATGTTCGCCAATAAATGTTTCGATCATAACAAGATAATAGGATTTTTTTGGGGATTGGAGTGGAAACGTATCAGAGCGGTTTTTTGCTTCAGCAGTATTTATATATTCTTAAGGTACCCATTTTTTCTCGAGAAAATTCTGAACATGTTTGTGATGGGTTTCGGACTGTACAGTGGATGAGGCCCTCGCCCAAGCACGGATGGACATGGGTGAGGGTTTGGATAAGGTTGACGGGGGGGTATCGGTTTTGCCAGAATGTTATGCGGTGAAATGGTGTCATCGGCAACCGAACGATTGCAAATAAGCGGAAAGTAAGTTAGCTGATAAAAGAACAATATATATATATATATATTGGGGGGGAGGGAGGGCGGGGTACGTTTTGTATAGAGGAGTCATTGTCGAGTATCAGCAGATCGGGGTCCTGTCTTTATCATTGCGTTGCATGATTCTGCAGTATTCGGGAGAGGGAGATTTCGCTTCGTCACGCTTGCTGTTAGAAAGGGGCATTATTTATATGGGATGAAGGATGGACTGGATCGGAAAAAGGGATATCACAGAATATGGTTTCTATCGCTATCTTCCCGATTGCATTCACCTATGTTCCACTGATCTGTCTGTCTGTCTGTCCGTCTGTCTGTTTACAGTGTTGGAGATAGATCAACGTCTGAGAGAAAATGCATGGAATGCGCAAAGGCCCGAATCGAATGCAACCGTATCAGTCGAAGTGGTCTGTTTCAATTGACAACTAGTATTCACCTGACACCTGGAGCATCTTCGACTCCCCTTTTTACCTGTGGCATGTGATGTGGTCAGGAAATCGCGTGGTAGACCTGATTCCAGAGAAGAGAGTTCAGAATCACGATGATCCGTGTCAGAGTGGAGCACGAGACTGAAAGAAATTAGAAGTAGGAGTGGAGGTTACGGATAGGACTGTTCTGTGCAAAACAGTGCGTTTGTATTGTGAAAATCGCATATATCACATAACACTTAATAAACATAACCAGACCATCGGGGTATTTATGAGGTAAACACAGAATGGGTTCAATAAATATACTCCTGATTCCGTACTATGAAAGAAAAGAAAAACTTTACAAATCATTTTTGCTGATCAATTAATGCAGCTAATTAATCAATCAGCATGCGTCACATTTAGACAATCACTTCCTTAAAGTGGATAAGCCGAATCTGATATCCTTAAACTTCTCCTAGATAGGATCATAAACGGTGATTCCAGCACCGTCTGAATTTTGTATTCAAGTTTACAGCCTCAGCAAACCCAAGTGTAACCTGCAAGACAGCGGAACTGTTCCAGATAAGCCGATGACCAGTAGTCTGCCAGGTTTATGTCGTTGTTCTGTGAAGTTTCGTCAAGTGACTAACTGGAATAGGATCATAGGCAACAGACTAGTTAGCGGCGGGTCTCATTCGGGATTCATCACCAATGTGCTACAGATCACGCGAATTGGACAGCCTTGCCGTCGCCCGGTTTAATGCCACGCCTGAGCTAGCAGCCGCACCTTATGTGATTTGCCACTCCGAATTCCGTGACTTAGGTTGCCGGTTACCATCTCTGAACAGCAGTTCTTCGTGAATATGAGGTCCCACCTCGTCTGCTGTCCATCACACATCGGTGTAATTATAAAAGCCTTGTATTGTACTATCGCTCGAGTGGACACAGCTACTACTGAATTGTTCTACATTAAACTGCTTCACGTCTATCGTGGGGACTTGCAGTTCGTCAGATTTTATTTCGGGTCTCCTTGACTGTGCTACAGAATTTGCTCTGAACTGAATTTCACCACACACACACACACATTCGGTTGCCAGCACATTTCAATCACAAGAGGAGAGTGACCCATCATCTGGAGATTATGCGTAATACCATTTTGTAAAATATAGTGCCCGATTACAAGATGATACCATGTTTTCACTTGCTGTTGCTGCTTCCCACTGCTCATGCCCTGGGAAATGTTATCTGTTGTTCCATGATGTCACAGTTGTACAATGAACAGATTGCAGCTCAGAGATGAACTCGATTGAGAATCATTGGAGCAATCATGTTTACCAGGTGTACAGGGGTTCCATAGCTCGAAGAGCATAGATTCAAAGACTGACACCCATTAAACCGTGAATTACTAACTGACCTTGGGTGAGAATGAGTGAGCAATAGTGGCTGAAGAGCAAACTTAGATAGGGTCATATAGGAAGTATCGAGAACCTCAATTCAGATGGCCGGTGACAAATTGAAGCAAGATGACGCGAACTCAGCACCACTAGATGGGGAGTATCTCATACTTTTCTCAGCTGTTTGGAGCAGGTTCGGTTCCATTTGGGATATAACACAAAATTTCAATTTTAAATCTAGCACACCCTGTGATACTTTGTATAAATTTGTCCTGCCCAGATATGGTTTGATTATAGCGTATATAAAACAAAATATAGGGCTAAATGATGGGGAGTCTACGGTCAAGTTGCGCATTATATATATATATATATGTCTATATTTGCATACATATGTATATATATGTATATATAAGCGCAATGGTTGAAGTATTCTTCGTCTCGCTTTAGTGGGGATTCAGGTATGATACGATCAATCTTTACCGACGCAAATCCCAACCATATGCCTTCAAATGTGATGAAAATACAACTACCTCGATCAAGTGAATGAATGAACTTATATCTGTTTGTTCATGTTGTTCGCCAGCAATCTGCTAGTCACAGATACTTACCTCGATGCCATTCGACTGCACCGGATCGGGAGTTCAGCTGTTCATAGCTGGCCGCATCTTCGCCATGTGTTGAGCCCCCTGCCTCGAACGACTGTGCAGTTCGTGGTGTTTTGAAATAGAGAAATACCTCCTTGCTAGCCAAGAGGGAAAGCTCGCTGGGCGAACTTGATATGCGAATTGTCTCTCGGTTCATCCCCGGGTCAGTTAATCGGTCCACGGGAATCGGACCGTCTGACTCCGACTGTCTATATGTCCCCGTGATGGCCTGGATTTTCACGACATATTGAGTTTCCGGGGCAAGTGATGAGAGAACAATGGATGTCTCACCCTGAGTGAACAATGCAAGGCAAGTGAAAGCGAAAATGAGACCGGATAGTATGACTGTGTAGCCGGTCACCGGGTACAACTCAATGCATACGTGGCAAGTGATCAAAGTTGTTATCACATGCTAATTTCAAAGGTTGGAAAGCTGGGTATAATCGAAAATCATATGTAACTTCCTTCAAACGCCTATCGATTCGACCATTTTTCCCTACCCTCATTGCTATACACATGCTATGCCAACTAAAGTTATTTGGGTCATGCAGAGAACTTTTCCGGTAAAAGCGAATAGAGCCTATTCACTCTAGCTAGCGAACAAAATCGAGTAAAATTGTATAAATCAGTTCCGATAGAAAACCATCAGCTTCGATTGGATCACTGCATTTCTAAATCTTCATGGGGTTGTTCAATAAGGAGACGTGTGAATGGAGGGAAGTCTGCAAGACCAATAAAACCAAAGGTTTGACAACATATGAACTCTAGGTATTATATGTCTCCACTCCTGTGCGACGGAACATCAGTGACTGCGTTTGTTGCTGTCATTTCGACTCAGGATGACTGAACTAAAATATATTCAGTTTCGTTGGCTAAAACAGTAATTAAACTGCCAACTGACCCCGGTGGGGGGGACATCACTCACATTTCGAAGAACTTTGGTTTCCGCCAATCCGGGATCCAGTCTGGGTCTCAATCCGGGCCACGTTTTCCACAAGGCTGCCCCGATCGGTTTGTCCCGACTTGGTCCCCACACAACCCTTTACGGAATGAGATTCAAACGGGAATTCATTGCAGGCATGATGAATGATGCTCATGTGGTCGTGACTAATTAAGTCATATGTATGAGTCGGAAGTACATGCATAAAAGTACGTACACTGTCGATCGCAGTGAGACATCAACAAGTAACCGCCTGTAAGTCAGACATGATTATAGTGATTGGCATTCATAGCGAGAGTGCGATCTGTTTCCCAACCGTCTAGGCTCGACTGACCTTTGTAACAGATAAAAATTTAAGTCGGTATGATGAACATTTGATACTAAAAATGACTAGTTATTGCCTATATTTAAATGTCTGTCTTCAGTCAACCTAACAAAACGCATAAGAGGAAGTGAACATATTCGCCAATGTGTCTTAACTGCAAATTTATAAATATCACTAAAATCGATTGCATATGGTGTCTGAACGGCCCCCAAGGTCGAACTCTGCGCTTCCCGCCCCTTCCTACTTTGTCGGAACCATTTTGTAACTGTTTATCGCGACTAAATTTAATTAAGCATTCAAGCATTTACTGTGTAGGTGTGAATCTAGGATTTAATATAACAGAAAGACGCCTAAATCTGGCATCCCATTAACTGACGGGTGTAAGTGCTTTGATTTAAATAGAAGCACAGCTCATTTCACAATCCGGGGCACTCCCCCGGGCAAAACGGCCACGTGGAGGAAGAAAACTAACCATATACAACGAGGATGGTCATCACATGGGGTTGCACCTGAGAACGGTGCTAAAAGGAACCCCTATCGAGGACAGTCCGGGAGAATTAGCCGTGATTTTTGTGTGGAATACGACAGCCGACATTGAGTAACAGCTGAGATCGATCGACATAAAGGCGTCACTGAACATCCACCGAAGGAGAGTATGTTTTAATTTTGCCAAATACTAAATTCGCATTGTCTAATCCCCTGGCGTTCCGTTTGTCTCATTTTCAAATGCTGGGTGGTCAAGGAGCAAGAGGAAGATCATTTGTGGACCTAGTTTTCCACACACAAAAGCCATTTCGCTGGCCACAATGAGCAAATATTCGTTCCTTCTGATGAGTTGGGCTAGTATTGTGAGGATTGGGCTCCTGCGCGAGATACAGTGAATAGTGCAAAATTTCTTGCACAGACCAAGCAGGTTTTTGATAACTGTCAATCTTGAAACGCGTGATAGAGCTCGTTGTCATGTCTCAAGCGAGGTTTACCACACTTTGTTTTGAACATATTAAATATGGTTTTCTCACAGTTGGTCATGGTCTAGACTGGCATGTTCCAAATTCGAATTCATTCATTGACCCCTGACAGCCAAGGTTTGAATGTAATTGAAAACTTTTTCTCTGCATTGAAAAAAGAAAATGGGTTATCTAGATCGACAGTGTTCGCCAGAGTCAGGAGTGAGGAAACCATCCGATTGCAAAGTCGTTAAACTCCACGCCAAAATGACTGGCCCAAGCATTCAAAAAAGGAGGACCCACAGAGTATTGCTAATATGAAACTGCAGTAATTTTGTCACACCTAGAAGTTTCATTGTCGTAAATATACTATCAAAATACTTCCACTGATTTTGTGTTACATCGCAGCTAATGAGCCACCAATCGTCGTTGTATTCTAATGATTTTATAATGCAGACAGCTGATTCACCCAGTAGAAGTCATCAAATTGAAAATCATGATCGATAATTAACCATCGCAAGCACTTTGGGGTGCATCAAGCATTGTAAATACACGTTGCCTGTTCGTTCACCACTCAATACTTTGAATATTAGCCTATCATTGGCTTTTAACCCTGACTATATAAATACCGCAATCCGGAAAAAAAAACTATTCCGACAACACATCAAATAGGAAGCAAATCTGCATAGAAAGGGAAATGTTCCAGTTTCGGTAGACCAGGGTTGTAGAATCTGGTCGGTCACGGCCACGTACACGAGTAACATGAAAAGAATGGGCTTAATGTGTCCAAATCCGGTCTTACCGATAATGAATGTCACGAGTCGGTTCGGAACCGGAAATAACAGTTTGAATTTCGGTACCCCTTTTGTGTGGATCGGCTAGAGTAACCGACTGATTTGATCGATTTGTTCGCGGTCTTGAAGGATCCTCACCGGTCCCGGAAAGTCCCGGTAACCAAGTGATATTGTATGAAAGCGGACTGGTTTGGATTAAACGGTGTGCTAGTTGTTGCGGTTCCGGCAGGGATTGCTTTTCTGAAGGAGGCACCGGGGGAGGGGGTGAATTTCGACATGAAGTTGAATACATTGTGTGCGCAAAAGATTGATGGATTTACTGTCATGAAACGTTCAATGTTATACTTAGGACGGAACAAAGATGGTACCGAAATTACAAGCTTTTATCTTGTTGTGATCGAATACTGTGAGCAAGCTCAAATACAGGAAGAATAGTATCGAATGAGTTTACTCCAAGTACAACTTCAGTTTCCAGCAACATGTGGGGCTTGTACATTTGAGCAAAAATGCAAGGAACAACAATGAATCGGAAGAATGAAGAAGCCTCCGTACCGATATGTGCAGAACGGAGAAAACCTTCAAGACATTATTCAAGCTAGCTTGGAACGAACAAGTTAAAGGTTGCGGTCCGAAATACGATCTAATGCTGATCATAAAGATGGCGCTGAGAACATCTAACCACAGAGCTATCGTTCCGTGCATCATTCTCGGTGACCAAACTAAACCAGTAAGTACAGGGCAAGGATGAAGAGACGAGCTACTCACCAATATCTAACCGAAACTGTCAGAGACGGGCCAGTAACACGAATCATGCATGATTCTGCTGTGTGATTGAGAATTGACTGTAGACAGTCACAGACGCATAATACTTCGTTTGGAATATAATCAATAGACGGCCTCTATTATGCCTGTTGGAAATTCCTAGCTACCACTACAAATTATTTAGCCAATAAAAACAAGTAATTCATCAAAGGCGAATTCTGCGATTGACTCTTTATATGACCTAGCAACTAGGCCGACGATTCTCCCCGTCCTTCTGCAATACTGAGTTACTTTATGCTCACAGCCAAGTACGCTTTTGGAACAATTGTATTTATTGTGTAAACGAAACCAGCAGGTGAGTCGGAAAAGCGCACTTCACAAATCTTGTGCCGGCGGGTAACATATTTCTCATTCTACTCACTGAAGCTTCGCCCTTTTTTATTATACACCTAAGTGTGATGAATAACAGACGGGGTGAACCCCATGGTCACGAGGATATGCTGTTTATTGGTGGAAACCGGCAACCTAAGCCCCGAGACTTGAAGTGACTAACCACATAAGACCCCGATAGGTTGGGCGTGATATTGAACCGGACAACAGCAGAGCTGTCTACCAACAAAGTTAGGTGGCGGTGGCGGTGGCAGGGCTCGAACCTCCGATCATAGGATCCAGTGCACACCGGTTTTGCGAGACGCACCATAAAATGAGTATCCAAAACAGCCCTAGAACTCTTGAACATTTTTCTGCCAGAATGACCTCGGTAAACCGGTTCTGGTACTGCTTATAAACTAACCATCCCGTGGTAGAAGACAGATTAAGTTGGCTCTGTTCCCCGCCCCGATCCTAGTTGTGTCCTCGAGTATTTCGCCGCTAAGTGCACCAAGGCTAGCATTGTCCAGTTCCTTAAAAGCGCCCAATAAGCCTGCGTGACCGTGTAGTTCATTTCTGTTTGACTTTGCAGGAAAAGCAAGTAGCAACAAATCTTCTATAGATGCTGCTTGCTATGCTTATATGGATTTCTTCTCCAGGTAGGCTGAAAGGATGCGTTATCCGCCATGCACTTTTTGATAGTGCTCTTGTTTTCTGTTCACCACTGTTCTGAAGAACATATGCATCAACTTATAATCTTCTCGAGTGCAACGAAGTAGTCAGTCTTCTTGTGGATACCACAAAGTGGATTCGATGAACCAGTTCAGTGATTCATGGACTGATTTGATACGGCCGTGCCCTACTCACAGTTTTCTTCATCAACTTGTCAAAAACGATTGAGTGGTTTTTCAAAACTTCGCTACAGTTGCCTGTAACACTGAACAATAGATAGAGAACACAAACCCCCACGCACACACACACACACACACAAACACACACACACATCATTCGTTGAAGCTGTAACAATGAAATTGCATTCATCTATGATGATTCTTTCATAATCAGCTGAGTGATCGGACGGTCAACCGGGCGCATGAAAGTGGTTTTTGTGCCTGTGTACACGAGAGGGCATTAGGTCTTTGCCAGCTTCATGGAAAGGGGGACACACAGGAACACAGAGCATATGGTAGTGATTATCCAACGCATGCTTCGTAGCCCGACAGATGAAACCTAGATCGGCCCCTTTGAAGCATCCGACACGCGTATTTTTTCTCCCAGCCTCAGCCTGCATCTAACGCGTCGCGACACGTTTGCGACCAGCGATGGAGACATACACAGAACGCTCCACGTCGGCGAATAACCAACCGGTCGTTGGACTGTCCATTCACTAGTATTACCTCCCCCCGCCCCCGGTCCACCCCACGTCAGCAACATGTTTATCTCTTCGCGAAATCCTCAAACACCTGCACAGGTGGAACGATGTCATTTTGGCGATGATCTATTGAATCAAATCAAAAACGTTGGGGCACAGGGGAAAAAATGAGTGTGCAATCACCGAAGTAGGATACCTCCGATAATCAGGTGATTCGCTGCGACTCTGGACTTACCGTCCGTACAGATTATGTGTATATTTTTGCATCAGGTTGGGACAATGTATTTGATACGAACTCCCGCGTAAAACCGCATTTCGTTATCAAGTGCCCTTTCTTGTGAATAATATAATTCTAACGGATTGCACAATATTTGCGAAATTACATCTCCCTGATGATGGTTGCATGAATGTGCCAAAGGTTTAAATTAATTTCATTTTTGAAGAAGTGCACAAGAAAATGTATTCTAGCCACTGTGGCCGACAATGAATGGCTTCCTCGATCGTACGTATTTCCTCAGTGATGGATATTGACCTGGATTTAAAATTCAGCATTGTTTCTCGAGGGGCCTGTAGTTGATTGTGTTCATTTACTAATCCGGATTTTAATTAATCAACTGAAGTCGATAATTAACTGATATGAGTGTAATGTGGCCCAACACTGCGCACAAGGGAATATGATTTAAACATTCAAATCCGAGAAGCAATTGATTTGTCTGATCTGTATGACCCCTTTCTGTCGTGTGGTCGCGCCGTCCTGGGGATCTTTGATAGTGCAACTTTCCGTTGTCAACTGGTACCATGTATTTCTTATATTACATTGAATAATTGCATTGAATTTCCGGTCCCTCACACCGATTCCTGACTGGTTGGACCCATATTAGTGCACCTAACTACTAGAGGCCCAAATACAAAATATGAAACATGTCTACGAATAGTATTCAGCAATATAGGTTAGAACATTTTATCAAATCAGAGCACACTGAGTTACGGGAACATCTCCAATAGTAAACATAACCGGGAAGTACCATAATATGATTTCGGAAAAAAATTCGCATCATTCTAATTGACAATAACTGACACGAATATATCAATCCAGCAGAACACTTCCCCTTGTCGTGCACCTAAAAATCTCTGTTGTTTCATGACAAAGCACAATCGGCCAGCGTTTGCATCACATTTTCCCGCTCTTCTCTGAGTCATTGAAATGAAAATTTAGGTATAGATTTTTTCAATAATTAGTTCACAATTTGACCTAAAAACTGACGGTACTCTTCGCTGCACGAGAATTTCGGTCCACTGAGAGAGTGGGAGAATAAAAGGAGAACCCGCGGACCCAGATATTCGCCAAACAACCTCCTTCTTTTGAACCAATCAAGCGGATGTCATTTGTTGTGGGGTTCTAGCAACGCACTCGGCTCTACTTATATCGGTCTCTTGGGGGGGGGAGGGGAGGGGTCGATCGGGGCAGGTGAGCGCGTTTGAGCTTTTCACCAAGTTGCACGCCTCGATGCTTTGTTCCCACCATTTGCTGCTCACCGGGCGCTGCCAGAGGTGCAAGGTGATAAATCATAGTTTGCCACGTTTGAATGCCAATTTCTTTTTTCTCGTTCTATCCGGGGACAGTAAAAGGGAGCATAGAGTTGGGACTCAAATACCCGTTGCAAGTGGCTGAGTCTCTTGATCATGGTTAC